ATAGATGGTGTCATAACATATTTATTTTTTTCTGCCATCTGTTTCTTTGCTCAGCATTGTTTGTGAGAGTCATCTATACTGAGCGTGGCCTGACTATATCACAATCTATGGATCTCGTCTTCTGTCGATGGTATTTAGGTTGTCCCCAGTTTTTAGCTAATAAAAAGGTACTGCTCTAAACATCCTGTGCACTTCTTCTGGAGCACACATAGAAGAGTTTCTATAGGGAAATGGTTCTTGGTTCTGCCAGCACGTGGAGTCATCTGGGGAGCTTTACAAAATCCTAGAGTCAAGGCTGGGCGCCAAATTGATTAAACCAGAATCTCTAGGGGTGCATCCAGCATGAGTGTGTGTAAAGCTGGCCAAGTGATTCCAATGAGCTGTCAGTGGTGACCACCACTGCTCTGGACCAGTGTTCCTCAGGGTATGTGGTCCTCCAGCCAGCAGCCTCATCTGGGAACTTGACAGACGTACATGCTCAGCCCCTGGCCCAGACTTGGTGGGTGAGAATCTGTTTTAGCAAGACTTCAGGTGATTGCACTGCACCTGCAGGCCAGGTGCATCTTCATCCACAGGTATTGCCACATGGCAGCTCACGATGGTGGTGAGCTGTGCTTTTATGTCACTGTGCTCGGCACTTGGTGGGTTCTTGCTCTACGAAAGCTCCTTTCCTTCAGTCCTAGGAGATATTCTTGTATCATTTCTTCTACAATTTTCTCTCCTCTCTTTTCTGTTTCTCGGCTTGAAATTCCTCTTAGCTGGAGGTTAGACCTTCTGCATGGACCTGATGTTTTGGTTGTTCAACGGTCTTGACTTTCTCTTCTTTGTTTCGCTGTTTTACTTTCTGGGAGATTTTCTCACATCTTCCATCCCTCCTAATGCCTTTAAACAATTTCTGCTGTCATATATTTTAAAAAATTTTTCAAGAGCTTTAACACTTCCTTTTAAAACATGACACTCTCTTCCTGTTTCATGGGCAAACATCTTCAGAGGATTGTTCTCTGACCCCTTTCTTCTGTGTACTGGAGCCTCTGTACCTTCGGCTGTTGGTTTTTGGTCAACTGCTGGTGCCCCTGGCTGTTGCCACTATGACTGTAACACAACAGAGCTAACAGGAAGCTCTGTACATGTGGGTAGGGCTTGGGAATGGGGGCCTCATAGTGGTGACTGGGTAGAGACTGGGGAATTGTCAATTTCAGGATCTGTCAGTCTTTTCTCTTTGCTCAGTTTCCCAGACAGAAATTCAATAATGTCCTGCCTTGGGGTGGCTGGATGGGAACAGGCCCAGCTGTCAGCAGAGGAAGGGGGCTGAGGGTCTCCCCATTAACCATCGCGTCACCCCAGCCTTTGGCTGGTCTTGGGGTTCCCAATCCAGAACCTTCTAGTTCAGCCTTGGCCAGCTGTACACCTGTCTTCTACCAGGATCAGAGAAGGGCAGTCACGTGCCATCTGGGCTCGGGTCTCACCACTGTTTCCAACCAATACTATTTTCACAGCATCTTGAACTCCTGCCTTAGGGATACCTGGTCCCTCCATGTTCTGAGCATTTGGGGGATTCTGCAGAGAAAATGGGCTTGTTAAGGGTTGCCAGCTCCCTCAGACACTTTGGGGAGTGGGGGAAGCTGGCACTAAACAAGTTATACTCTTCCACCTGAAAGTTTTCAGACCTCTCTTACCTGCTGCCATCTTTGCAGTTCATGCCATTTTCATTCCTTTATGTCATTTTGGTGGGGTTTGGGGAGACAGAGGAAATACAGATGTGTTCAGTCCACAGTGCTTAACCACAAACCCTTGCCCATTTTACACGCATTTTGACACATTTACATATAAGTTCACATGACTCATTTTGATTATTTGTACTTTTTATTTTTACTTAGATGGCCTTGTTTTTCCCATTCAACGTTAGGTTTGTGAGCCCTTCTAACCCACGCAGATCTAGCTCATTCCTTTTACTGTGGCTTAGCAAGTGTTCCAGCAACCAACATACCACATTTTTTCCACCCATTTCTCTACTGATGCATCTCAGAAACACAAGTGATTGTGGCCTTTTGATCAACATGCTGGCTCAATGCAAATTCTAATCTTTATTGTTTTTATTCTGAAGCATAACTTGTCACAGGGAAACAGTGTTTTTATTACTTTTTTTTTTTTTTTAACTGTCTGCCAGCGACTAGGGCAAAAGAGCTAATGGTGGGGGCCTGAGAGCCTGGAGAAGGCGGCCCTTAGAGGACCAGGCACGGGGTGGTCAGGAGGGAGGGTGTGGATGCCATACACACAGAGTCACGCATTCTCTCTCCTCCAGGAACGGTTTTTCAGAAGCATCTGCCCACACTCTGAATTAAGTGTTTTTCTGCCAAACTGAGCCTACTGAAAAGGAGTGAATTAATGGCTTAGGGAGCTTCACGCCCAGCAGGGGGCTCAGCTGAAGGCTGCTTGCTCTTCAGTGAGTGAATTCACAGTGTTCACCAGAACCCTTTCCAGCTCCAGCAGCCCTCGGGGAGGCCAAGGAGGGCTTCCAAGAAACCTCACAGACAGCCAGGTTCAACAGCAGCTCCTGGGCGGGGAGGGAGGAGGCTGCATCCAGGTTCAGAGCCGCAGGGGAAGGGGGAGGATGGGTGGATCTCTCATCCCACCTGCTCTGGGTTCCTCTCCGGGGGCCACACTCAGGTGTGAAGGGTCACGCTCAGGCTCCGATTTCTTTTTCCATGAATACAAATATGGAGAAAGCCCTGCCTGGCACCCTCTGAAATTGCAGTGCATAGGGCAAGTCCCCAGAAGGTGGGTCTGAAGGCCCTTCCAGTCCAACTAAGACGACAGCAAACTTAAACTGAACATAGGGGTAGACTGGGGGTGGGGCTGGGGGCAATAAATAAAGGTCACGGCTGAGGGGAGTGACTGGGGTGGCGGTGGAGAGAAGGGCTCCCGGGAGAGAACGGGTGCAGAAAGGCATTGGGTTGGGGGAAGCAGACTCAGCCCCGCAAACACTGGTTTGTTGAGTCAGAGGTCACGTCCCACAGGGCTGGCGGTGGAGGGCCCTGGGACTGGTCAGGAAGGAGCCGGCTAGGGTCTGGCTCCAGCTCTTTCTCTCTCTCTCAAGCTCTTCCACTGGAAAGTCTGCCCCACGCACCAAGCACGCCTCTGCTCAGGGCAGGCAGAGGGGACCGTCGGAGCCCACGTCAGCAGCAGGGGCTCGCCCAGGTGTGCCTTCTACCTTTGGGGGAGAGAAAAAAAAAGGCCACTATAGGGGGAGCAGAGGCAGAGTCCCACCCCAGTGACAGTGTGAAATCTGGGAATGAAATGCAGGGAAGGCTGACTCCTTGCTGGAGTGGCCTGCACCTGAAGCAGCTGCCCCGTCTGAAACTAAGCAGGGGGCTGCCCTGGAGGGCCGGCGGCTGAGTGCTGGGCAGGGGGCGCCTGCATGCTGGGCCCAGCCCTGCTCCGCTGTGCTGTGTCACTGCAGGCAGGTCGCCCAGTCCCTGGGCTTCAGTGTGGCCACTGATACCTAGGCTAGTCAACACAGGTGATCTTGGGATGCCAGCAGGAGCAAATGGACATGGGAACATACAACCTTCCTCTAGGCCAGTCCTTTCCAAGTAACAGCTTAAGCCCTGGAACCCTGTCTATGTGCTGGGCCACACAGCCTGCCCCGTGATTACTGGACAGCTCCTGAAGACCCACTCAGGTAGGTACCCCACACGGACCCTGGATCTTACCCTCCCTGCAACCTGCAAGGGACACGATGTGGTCCCCATTTCAGTGATAATGGAACTGGGCACTGAGAGATCAAATATGAGGTTGAATCTTATGGATTTGCCAATATTTAACTGTTTTTGATCTACAAAAATGCAGTTTCATGTGGTTCGACCTGATGGTTTGCCCAAGTTCCCATGGGTATGGGTGGCAGGGCTGGGACTGGAGCTTGGACCTGCTTGATTCCAAACTGCCCTCTCTGGGGGGATTGCAGGGGGCGAGGGTAGGCGGGGAGAGGGTGCATGCCCATGGCGCCTCCCTCCCTGAGACCTGCCCACCCAGCGTCACAGTCTGTCTCTGTCCCTCATGACCATCAAGAGGGGAAATGAGGGAGGAGGAGGGAGGGGAGGGAGGGGAGGGGAAAGGGGAGGGGAAAGGGGAGGGGAGGGGCGCTCCCACAGGGTTTCCTGGTGGGTACTCCCCAGCCCAGCAGGCCTGTAGCCGTCCCCGTGCGCGGCAGGGGCACCAGCTGCTGCGCTGACCCACACGGTGTGCACCATGGATCCCCTGATTGTACGCACTAAGTCCAGCTGGGGCTTCTTTCTGGAAGGAGGCTAGGCGCCGATCGTGCACCTGTACAATTTTGTCCCGCTTGAGTGTGAGGACTCCCCTGTCCCCCAAGTGCATGGTGACCTCAGGTTGGCCGGGGCAGGTGGGAGCTTGGACTCTTGCCCTCGGCTTCCACACCCATCACATGGGGATAATCAGCCTCCTGTCTATTTGTCCAAGAGAACGAAAGTTGACCTTGGAAGTGCAAGGGCAGGCCGGCCTCCATGCCGTCAGCTCTAGGGGTCCTGAATCCTCCCTCTTAGGATTTGGGCCTGCCCTGGCCTGGGCTCTGTTTTGGGTGAGTTGATTTGCCTTCCTCAGCTATGCAGTAGGTTTCTGGAGGTCAGGGACTGTCCCCCACCGCACCCGGCCCAGGCTGGGCACGCACTGCCTGGCGAATAGCAGGTGTTCTGAAAACGGAGTTACTGTGACTGTTAGGCAGGAAGGGAAATGCTCTGAAAGATTATACATTTCATAAAGCAGAGGATGGAAACAGCCATTGTTACAGTTACTGAGAACGGATAGGGACAGTCACCACTGTCCTTTTGGGTCCCTCTTTCTGTTCACTGTGGGCACGGATGGGTCTGGCTTGCCTCTGTTCGACGGGCACCTGGCACAGGGCTCAAAAATGCACAGAACTGAAAACACCCCCCGGGGGGGGCAGATAGGAGGTGGGTACGTTGGAAGGAGGAGCTTGGTACTCACTGTGGCCTTTTGGGTCCGGCCAGGGTGGGGCCCCCACTGTGGGTCCGCAGAGCCGGTCCCGTCTCGATGGCCAGGCTGCTCTGGCTCCCTGAGAGGTGGCTGGGTGGGCGGGGAGGCCCCATCTTTGATGACTTCACACTGCCACCTGCAAGAAACCACATGAATGGTTCAGGGCTGCGTCCTTTGGGCCTTGAACTGAGACAGGGACCATCTCAGCCTGACAAGGAGCTGATCTAAAGTCTCCTCATTTGGAATTGTGACCTGTTTCTATGGGACCGTCTGCCAGAGCTCCTTCCCCTGGGAACCACCACCCCCTTTCCCCATCCACATGGCTGCCCTGTTCTAGCGGGACCCCACCCTCTGGCCACTGCAGAGTGGCCCACAACCTACAAAGGCAATCGAATGGGCCCTCAGGTCATTTCACTAAGGAACAAGTAGTTACCCACATGAAAACTGGCAGTGAGGATGAGTCTGTCCTGCCCTCGGAGGAGGGTGTCGTGGGGAAGCGTGTAAATTTCTGTTAACCCAACAAGAGGGACATTCACTGCTGCCTCTTCAGACTAAAGAATCCTCACTCAGACACGGTTGTTGGCCCCTGCCCGGCCCAGAGAGCAGAGGTGGGGCCTGCAGACTGCACTCCATCTTTCCATCTCCTGACCCGCTTGGCCGCAGCTGAGAGCCGGTGTGAAGAGAGGGGACAAGAGCTGCGGCAGTGGGAGGTGAGGAGTGTGAGACCTGCCCTAGCAACCAAGGCTGGCAGGTAAGTGTCCTCCACACTTTCCTAAGAGAGCATCTGCAGCCTGAAGGGGCCTAAGAGATCATCTAGTCCAGGGACAGTTTTCACCTCATGCACCATCCCCGCCTACTGATACTGATCCCTGGGAAAACTGCATGGAGGAGGATTCCGAAGCCATGTCAGGCTCTGTGGGAGAGAGTACCGTGATCAACTGGTAATGTCTGCCATGGGCACAGGAGTGCCAGGCATTGACATCTCTGACCTAGTCCAGACTGCCACCCCCGGCAGGAATTCCTTCCGTATCAGTTCTGGCAGAAGATCACCCAGCCTTCCATTTCCTTCCAGTTTGAGGCAGTTATTGAAAAGCTTTCTTCTTAGGTATTAAATTCAGCCTGAAATGTCATGCGAGTATCCCAGTTCTAACCTTTGGAGTGACTCTGAATGAAGCTGGTCCTTTTCCTGGGAAGGTCCTTCATGTGTCTAAAGGAAAGGAATGGAAAATGTGCCCCCAGGCCTTCTCTGCATATATACCTGAGCTTCCCTTCCATATGTTTTTTTTTTTTTTTTTTTTTTTGCTGCTCTACACAGCTTGTGGGATCAGTTCCCTGACCAGGGATTGAACCCGGCCCATGGCAGTGAAAGCCGGAATCCTAACCATAGGCCGGCAGGGAACTCCCCTTTCCATCTGTTCTTGAGTGGTGCCAACAGTTTAGCTCCTAGCCCTCCCAGCTGAAGGCCCATTTAGCCTCCCGGATCTAGAACAAGTCCACAGACCCAGCCACTGGGGAGCCACTAGGGAGCAGTAGCCTGTGGAAGCAGAAAAGCCACACTGCCCCGGGGGCTTGGGAAACACACAGGGCTGCTTTGCACACTTACCTGATTCCCCCCAGGGTTTGTCGCCTTTCTGGTCCCTGACCCCAGTGGGTGGGAGTCTGTCCTCCAGGCTGGAGGAGCTGAGATCTGAGTCACTGTCGCTGGAAACCACTGGAAAAGAGACACCAGCACAGGAGGTCACCCCCACTGGCCACCACCGGCAGGCGTGTCAGACAGAGGGGACCAGGGCAGGCCTCTTCCTTCCAGGACAAAGTGTCATAGGACCTCCGCCGGCCCTGGTGTTTGGGGCACGGGGACAGTGGTCCGGGGATAGGGATGGCAGGGTACTCCTTTCTGTCAGTCAAAGAGGTGAGTCCCGGTGCGAGGAGGCGGGGACTTGGGGGTGCGGTGCCCAGTATGACCAGCACCGGCAGGGAGGGCTCAGTCCTCAGGCAGCCATCTCCACCCATCACCCCCTCCCTGTGGCTGAATCAGAAGCCTCTTGCTGGGAGGAGCTGATTACCCGCTTTGGTGTAGGCCCAACTGCACCTGGCAACATTTAAAGGTGCCCGGCCATGCTCTGCAGGGATAATTGCAGTCCTCGCTGACCCTGATGGAGGGCTCCAGGCCCATGACATACACTAACTCAAGGAAGCTTCAGAACAACCCTGCAAGATAGGAAATAGCATTGTCCCCATTTCACAGGCAAGGAAACCGAGGCCCTTGCCCACAGTGGGATTCTTACTCTGGCGGGCTGGCTCCACAGCCTGTGTTTGTGACCACTCTGATTCCACCAGAAGAACTGAACTGGGAGCCAGCAGGCCTGGGCTCTCATCCCAGCTCATCTAGCAACTCCCAGTGGGGTCTTGTGAATGCAGGAGCAAGGCTGGTGGGGCTGGAACCCCAGGAGAGGGAAGGGGAGGGGAGGGGGAGCTCCCACAGTGAGCACCTGCTGTGGTGGAAACCCTCTTTTCTGGACTAAATGCAACCATATTTGGCTGGTTAATCAACAGTGGGGAGTCATAATACAGGATCTATTCATACATTAAACACTCCATTTTAATTTTAAGCATAGAAATGTACATCCATTCGCCAATCTTTTTTTTTTTTTTTTTTTTTTTGG